TATTTCTGGACCTACATAAGGATTACATAAGTGTGTGCACTTTGTGATACAAACTATCAAACTATGCCCTTGGAATTTGTGCACTTTTCCTGTATGCAAATTGTACTTCAATAAAGAATGTCTATGAAAACAAAATAATAATATGGGCTAGGAGAGGGAATTCTGATAAATGAAAAAGTCACTTTAGTATAGTAGAATTATGGATGAGCTATTTAAAGTCTTGCTTTAACTTGGTTGCTACAATAGACAAATTTTGGGTGGGAGGATAAAGTAATTTAACATTTATTCAAATACATATGTAAACTGGAGATGGAGACGCTTGAGTTCTGTGCCAGGACCATCACAGTTTCAGCCAGAAAAGCTTTTTAAGCTGGTATAATAACAACCTCCTAAAAAGTCTTGCTCAAGAGCTATGAACTTCGAATTTTGAACAACGCAATTTCCAGGCACACATCCTAAAAACAAACAAACAACCTATTGCAATATACATCCAAATAATTGAATGAGGTAATGAACCTATTATGCAAGTAGATGTTAAGCGAGAACAATCAATAATAATAACTTTCTTTTTGCTTTGAAAGAATTGTCTTTCTCTTTTTTTAGAGTTGAACTTTTAAATTGAGGCATAATCGACCTATCACATTAGTTTCAGGTATACAACATAATGATTTGATATTTGTACACTCGTGTATTGGGAAATGGCCACCACAATAAGTGTAGTTAACATCTGTCAACATACATAGTTAAAAATTATTTATTGTGATGACTTCTAAAATAGACTCTCTTAGCAGCTTTCAAACATGCAACCCGGGATTATTAACTATAGTCACCGGGCTGTTGCCTGTACCCTTTCTAACAATATTTAACCATTCAGGGTCAAAACCTAAGGACATTCTGAGTTCCCACAGTAAAACCATGTCATCTGCATGTAAGAGATTATTTCTGTCTCCAGTCTCTACGGTGAGATGCAGTGCACATCCGGTTAGTAGAATAATACAACTTTTGAGATGTGAGGCTCCTTGAACATGTTGGGTCAGGGAGGGATTGAGCTTTACTCTTCACTTTGGGTGAATATTTGGGAAATGTTTTCTTTTCTTGTCTTTGTAATAAAGTTCTAGTTTAAATTTTATGAATTATGATAAGTGTCCTTCTTTTCTACCTTTTTCAACTAGTATCACAGTATCAGGGTGGCTTAAATTGCATGTTTGGGCTGAGTGGGAAGGAGGCGCTTTACCTCATACAAGAAGAATCCCGTCTACCTGATCATGGCCACAAAAGATATCTTATCTTGTTATGCTTGGACTTGGACCAAGGGCCCAGGCAAGAGCTATAAACCGAACACAAAGAATCATGTGTAGTTACTGTAACTTTGAAGATGGATATTGTAATTCTCTTCCAGTATCACATTAATTTTCACCTAATTTTAAATTCCCATTTGATAACCTAAAAACCTGGGAAGTCTGAAATAGCGCTTCCTTTATCCTCTTCTCTGCTATGACCTTTCAGAGCAGAAAAGGAAACGGCACTGGCCAGGGAGCCAGAAAGGGCAGGTTCTCATCTTGACCTTGCCGCTTGCAAGGTTACAGAGATTACTTCATCTCTTTGAGTCTTCGTTTTCTCAACCCTGCACAGCTACTGTCCCCTGCTTTAGAGGCATTGCGTTTGAAAGTGTAGAACAGAATTAAATGTAGGCTAGCATCATTATAACTGCTATCTTAAGTTGCATTCTAAATATAAAAGATAAAGAATATATATATTGGTGTCTGGCTTGGGAAGAATACAGGGAAATGAGGTCAGAAAGACGAAGGAATGGAAAAATAAACACACTGGTAATTCTAAGAGGATGAAAAAATAAGGGCAAAGTTGCAATCTTAAAAGGTCAGTGCAACCTTTTACATTATTTTTTCTAATGACACACGCACCTCAATCTTGATGTAATAGACATCTGTTGTTTTTATTCTGTCCTATAACCTCCCTCCTTCTGGCAGCAGAACCTCTTTCCTTGGAGAACTGTGTTCCCCAAATGTTGTGGTTTTCTGGTGGCTGCCGAACACCTCGGATCTGTGTGTACTTGGTTAGGAATGGGATTCTCGGAGCTGGCAGGTGACCCAAGCCGGGGAAATCGGCATCCTTCCTTGAAATTGTTTACCTATTTCCTGAGGGGGGAATCTCTTTTCTCTGGAGTTCTAAGTGGATTATTTTTTTTTTCTTATTTTAGTGGAGCTCTTTTGTCTGTGCAATAAACAGCTACCTTCCTTCATTTTCCCTTTCTGGTTGCACGGAGGCACTGCTGATTGGGCACTAAGATCATCTTTTGCGGCGTCTGATTCCATTCCGTCCAGACCTTCACATTTGCCTTCTCAGCACCACATCTGTTTACTAGCTGGTGGAGTTTCCAAGCAGTTAAGAACAGATAGAAAAAGGATCTATACATTTTTTTTTTTTAGAGTTACTTGATGTAAAAGAAAATGCCACCCACATTCACTTAAAAAAACAACAACACACCAGCCTAGTCAACTGTGGCATCTCTCTAGGTACCTAAAAATATGTATTTTGTTATCACCAAATACCTAATTAGTGTTCAAATATCCCCAATTGCCTTAACATTCTTTGTTTTAACCTTTGGTGTGTTTGAATCCTGAAACAATGGAGCAAAGGTAGGCGTGTGTGTGTGTGTGTGTGTGTGGGGGGGGGGGGGGAGTGTGTTTCCCTTAAGTCATTGCGCACACTGGCTGGTTACTTTTTACCTCTCTTCAAAACAGGCATTTCATTGTCTCTGTAACACATTCCCATTGAGCAACAGAATTTAGAAATTAACTTAAAACCTTGCTTATGTGCTTTACAAATACCAGATGAGGTTCTGGTAATGGAACTGTGGTATAGATAAGCGTAAGTGATAGCTTGAAAGGTGCCCTTGGCCATGAGAACCCCAAAGGGAGCAGGGACAAGCAAACACTCGGCTTTGCAGCCTTTGGGATCCCCTTACCTTTTTGGTGGCAAAAAAGACCCCCACCATCCGACAACGTCTAATAAAATACTTGGTTTATAAGGCAAATGCATTCATATGTTTATTAAAAATGTCTGTAGCTTCATTTACAACAAACATCCATTGTCTTACATGGCTTTGTTTTTTGTGTACAATCAAGATCCTACTATCATCCCCTTTGGGTATAAATGAATATATTTACTTCGCTTCCCCTCAAGCATAAAAGGATGAAAACATTGCTACGGACAGTCCCACAACTTTCTTCTCCCAAAGAGGAGGTGCCAAGGGGTGAAGAGCTAAACTTTCAGCCACGCACAATCTCCACCCATCTCATTAAATAAATGAACAACGTGAGTGATCTATGTACTTACTAAGCAACCTCAGCATTTGACAGGTTCCAGGTACCTATCCTCTCCTCCATCACATCAATCTCCTTAGAGTCCTCCTAGGAGTTAACACTGGCTGCAACCATAGAATCCTAACATTACATATGTCATCACTTTAGATACTCATTATCCCTTTCTATATGGGCCCACTGGGTCCCAAACCTGGCATGGCTCCCCACCCTCCCTGCCGGGTGGGATGATTATTCTCACTTTACTATTAAGATCTTGAAAAGGTTTTTGATTGTTTTTAAATCTGTCACTTGGAGAACCGATAAGTGCATCCACTAAGCTTAGGGACCCGAAAGGTTTAAACATCACCGCCCTAGGCTGTGCGCTTTTGTCAGCTCTTGGTCAGCACCGGGTTCCGATCTGGGACAAAACTCATGATCTCCTGGCTCAGGTTCTGTGAACTGAGTCATTCTGGCACCGAAAATATTCCGTGACTCAGCAGGCCCGCCAAGGAGGATGTCAGATCCAGATAATTTCGAGTCTTTTAAAGGCAAGCTGGGGAACATAAACAACGCAGTGGAAGAATTTCGCAGCGGGTGCGTACCCAGGGGAAAAATGTCATTCCATTCCCAGCCGTTTTCACTTCCTTCCTTGCCCCTTGTTAGACGACAGGTTACACTTTAATGTAGAGGCAGGAAATCGCTTCTGAAAGTGCATTTTGATGCTGCAACAACAGACCCTTATTGTCCGGGGACCGGGTCAGCTCCCCCTTAGCCATCCCGGCCCTCTCTCTCCCCGGAAAGGGCTGGAGCGGAGCCCGCGCGGCCGGGATTGATCCCGGGCCGCGGGCGGCGGGGGCTCGGGGCCTGCGGGCCACCCCCACCGCCGGGTCCCTCCCGTGCCGGCCTCGGGGCGCGCCCCGCTGGACGCCAGGACAGACACCTGGCGGGCGGAGGTCCGCGCTTCGGCGGCGGCTCGGGTTGGCGCGGGGCCTGAAGGCCGACCCCGAGCGACCTCCCCGTCGCGCCTTTCAAGCCACCTCACTCCCCCCGTCCCCGGCCCGGAGTCCCGGGGACGCGGGGTCCGGGGACCCCGATGCCCAGCCCGCGCGGGGCGCTGTGTGCAGCCTCCCCGCCCTCCCGGCATGCACCGCCCCGCGCCCCTCCCCGCCCCTCCCCGCCGATCGCGCGCCCGGCCCGAGCGCGAGGCGCCCCCGCCCCCGCCGCCGCCGCCACGAGTCGCCGGGGCGGACCGAGGGCGGGCGGGGGCCGCGGGCGCCGCCGAGAGGAGGCCGGGCTTGGGCTTGCGCCTCCGCCAGACCCCACCCCACCCCGCCGACCCCACCCCCTGCGCCTTCCTCCGGGGGCGCGCGCGCGGGCACGCGCTCGGAAGTCGGGGGGTCGGCGCCGAGTGCGGACAGCGATCCCGGGCGGGTGCGGGCGGCGCGGAGGCGGCGTGCGGGGCGCAGTGGTCAGCGAGCCGCGCGGTCCTCGCCAGCAGCGCCCACCCGCGGGTCTCCGGCCGGAGGAGCCGCCGCCACCACCACCGCGCGCCCCGCGAGCCCGGCCCCTGGGCCCGGGAGGGAGCGCAGCGCGCGGAGCGGCCTCCGGGGGACGCTGCCGGGAGCGGAGCGCGCCGTGGCCGGGGCCGGGGCCCAGCGCGCGGGCGGCGGCGGCGGGATGAGGGGCGGCGAGCGGCCCCGGGGGCGCCTGTGGCCGGTGCTGGCCGTGCTGGCCGCGGCGGCCGGCTGCGCCCGGGCGGCCATGGACGAGTGCGCGGACGAGGGCGGGCGGCCGCAGCGCTGCATGCCCGAGTTCGTCAACGCCGCCTTCAACGTGACCGTGGTGGCCACCAACACGTGCGGGGCGCCGCCCGAGGAGTACTGCGTGCAGACCGGGGTGACCGGGGTCACCAAGTCCTGTCACCTGTGCGACGCCGGGCAGCCCCACCTGCAGCACGGGGCCGCCTTCCTCACCGACTACAACAACCAGGCCGACACCACCTGGTGGCAGAGCCAGACCATGCTGGCCGGGGTGCAGTACCCCAACTCCATCAACCTCACGCTGCACCTGGGTAAGCGGTGACAGCCCTGCACCTCCCTCCCCCCATACTCACCCCCCTCCTGGCCCGGCCTCTGGGGCCCACGCAGGAATTCCCTTCTCCAACTTCCAAACTAGATCTAACGCTTAACATCCCGCGAGGGCCAGGATGCTTCCCGCCAGCATCTCTCCGATTGCTTTTCTATTTTTTTATTTTTTATTTTTCCCCCTAGCTCGGCCGGATTCTCGCCCCCTTGATTAGTCACTATTTCGGCTGTTTTTGTCCCTCTGCTTTGAAACACGGAGCAGAAGCGACCACCCTGGCGCTCCTCTCCCCGCGGGGCCATCACCGCGCATTCTTGGATCGGAGGCAGGAAGGTCCCCCTTAAGCACTTTTTTACCTGTTGCCAGGCTTGAGGGTGATTGCTCTTTGCTCTGTTGAATGAGCTAGAGAGGAAGGGAGGGGAGTCCAAGATTAGGGAGTTTGAGGAGACCCAATGCCTTGACGACCCATAAAACTCTAGGTCATTAAGAGTAGAAATTCACTTTTAAAGTTATTGTTCCTTCCAGTTCTTCAGCCTTAAAGCCACAGAGCCATGTCACTGCTAATCCCAGTACAGAGAAAACAAAAGGAGGTGTCTGTCCTCCCTGGAATTGCTCGGGCCCAGATTTGTCCCCGGGTAAAAAGGCTCTCTTGGCTGTCTTCCCTTTTGCTTTGGTTCCAAGCAAGTGTGGAAACATGTATAAGTGAGCTTTTAGAAATCAGGAAAGGGATGTATAGAAAACTTCATTGTGGGTGGGAGGAGGGTGAGGGGGCTACATTCGGACGGACATGTTTATCCCCAAGGATCAAGCATCATGTTTCAGCTAGATAAGCGTTTCTTCATCACGGCACTATATAAACAAGGGAGATGATTTACGTCGTTTAACAGAGTAACAAACAACACGATGTGTGAGAAACCAGCATTCCAGCATTTGATTTGTGGGGAGCTTTAATCCCCATTGCCGTTGGAAGTCTCGATTTCCCCGGTAGCTGGTAGTAATGAACTTCCAGAGAGAGCAGAGTAACAAGCCATTCTTCTGTCAACGCAGGATTATTCGATAAAGACACTGACATGATTTGGGGGCCCTTGGAAGGAATGTTTTGTAGGCAAATGGTTCTTTTGGGGGTGGTTTGGCATTTTTCTTTCCACTGCTCCCTGGTACACTGAACTTTATCCAAGTGTCCGGATGCCAGAGGAGGAATATGACTTACAAAAAATGTGCTTTGAAAAGGGGAGTGAAATTACTGTGTACGGAGTGTTAGAAAAGCAGTAGTTAGCACCTTTGTTGTGGCAAGTCCCGTTTTATGGAGGCATCAGGAAGAGGAAACTTTTGGAAAGTAAGTTCAAAAAGTGAAATTCTGAGACACCTCTCTTTCAGAAAGCAGGAAACTGCTGAGCTCAGTTTTCCAGAGATCTTGGCAACGTGTAGAATGAGCGGATTTGTGGATGGAGCCAGGCGCAAGACACCTAGGGTCTCAGACTTAGTGGGGGCTGCTCTTGAGCTGTTTTCCTCCTAAGTGTAAACATTTTTAAACTTGGCCAAGATTACTTTTGAAATGTGTATCCAGCTACTTTTGTTTAAATGGTGACTTGTGAACATTTCTGTGCTGAATTTGGAATGGCCCACAAAGTCTTATATGATTCTGTTTTCAAATACTGACTATTTCAAAGTGAAGGCATTGCCTTAGGCACCGCCTTGATGTCTCAAAGTGCCTGAGAGCCTCTGCTGAACATTTCTGAACAAGAATCTTCTTATTGAGGTAAAGGTGGGGCTGTCAGTCTCGGCCTCCGAGTTTGCTGCGGTGGGTACCGTGTAGCACAAGGTTATTTGAGGTGATCACAGAGGCGGCTAGATTACTCAGTGATTACTTCTCTGTTACAACCACCATGTGGTAGGTCAGACAGAATCACTCAAGTTAGCTTGCTAACTGCTGGGAGGTAGATAAATGAACTGTGGATCTTGGTGATTAAAAGGTCAAAAAGAGATTTTAGAGTTCACCTACTTAGAACTCTCATGTGACTTTTTGCCCTAAAAATATATGTTTGGACTTGTTTTTTTGCTGTAAGATCCCCCCCCCCCCCCCAGGGCTTTTAAATAATATTCTTGGTAAATGCAGTTCATAAACTATAGGTTTAGAAATTCTAAGTACAAAATAAAGTTAAAGTAGTTTTCAGATGCCCCTGTGATTAACTGTAAAAACCGGTTCCGATAGACAATTTCTAAAAACTTGACTAGAACTGATTGTACTTGTTCTTGGGTCCGAAATGATGTCCTGGAGGAAATGGTGTATGGTGGGAAGGGGAGGGAGATCAGTGCATAGTAGGGTTGATATCTCAATCAATATCCCTCTTCTTCTCATTCACCTTCTATCCCTCTTTCTCTCCCCTCCCCCCTTTTAAATGACAAGGATATATATGTATCCATGCTTGTTATGATCTATAATTTGTGGCAAATTGCCAAAGCTGGTTTGGCTCAGTGGTAGAGCATCAGTCTGCGGACTGGGGGGTCCCAGGTTCGATTCCGGTCAAGGGCATGTACATTGGTTGCGGGCACATCCCCGGTAGGGGGTGTGCAGGAGTTAGCTGGTCGATGTTTCTCTCTCATCCATGTTTCTAGCTCTCTATCTCTCTTCCTTCCTCTCTGTAAAAAATCTATAAAATATATATATATTTTTTATAATTTGGGGCAAATAGGCAAGGCTTGATGATGTCCAGCATATTCACTCCCTCGCCCCAGTTACTCCATGGGTCCTGGCTAACTAATTATTCCCACGAATGCAAGCACCATGACTGCCTGTGCATCTATTAAACCTCCCCTCCAGTTCGGGTTTCACATACCCTCAAACAAGTGATGCGTACGGTGCCCTGCCCTTCCGGAGCCTGTGAAACGCGAAGGGAGCTGCGTGAGAGAACGGGTTCTGGCGGCCCCTTTTCCAGGCTCCCTTTTAATGTTCAACTTTGGACACAGTGCACTTCAAAATAAGCAAAGTCAGCTCGCACTTAAGCGGTCGCAAGAGGCATACGTGTTTTGGCACCGGCCATAAGTCATTTTTTATGGTAAAAATAACACATGCCACGGTGAATTAAAACAGTGAGTGTAATGACTGGCGAGTCTCTGCGTCTCCAGTTGCTAAGTTGCTTGAGAGACCACCAAAGTGCACGGTTTCTTATGTAACCTTCTGGAAACTTCTCACGCACACACGTGTATATAAAATTACATGATCATTTTAACTGCTACCTTTTTTTGGGGGGGGGGGGTTGGGTGGGATGAGGCACATTTCTAACAGATGGCAAGTACAAATTAGATCATTGTACTATTATCATCACTTGTACAAAAGCCAGGAAAGTCAGCGCTGGTTCTGAAACTAGCCATGCCTTCAGTAGCATACCCAGGCATCCAGGGTGCACTGTGCAGGGTGACTTCCGATAAAATGAGTTAAAGTTTCTGTGGGAACCAGACTTGCATCTTCTGCTTGCTGTGGAGAGAAATCTCAACCAGGCACCCTTTTCTGAAAAGAAGTCTTATCTTGCCTTCAACTTTTGGATCTTCGAACGTCTGTGTGGGTTACTCGATTGCTGGTGGTGTGGCTCTTGGGTTTTATAATAAATCATAATAGGTTCCATTAGTATCAGTGGGGTAGCTGATAGTCAGTGTGTGGCTGAGGATTTGCTTCTTATTAAGCTGCCCTTTCATTAACCTGATAGTCATTGTGGATGGAAACTTGGCAGACTGGGTCTTCATCTTGGGGGAAGGCAGCTTTCTTTCTAAAAACAATTAGATGAAGGGAGTGCTTATAAAACCAACTCAATCGAAGTTTATGGGACTCCTAAAATTTACACCAAGACCAGATTCATTTCCAAGCTCTCATCAGCTTTAGGAACAAATGGTGGTTCAGTGATGCATTTTTATCTCTGTCTAAATATCCTTTTTGTGTATCTAAATCAGAATAATTGATCTGTAAGGATATTGCATTTTATCCTGTTTGGTGCTCTGAGTATACACTGAGTGGCCAGATTATGATGATCTCTGAATGCATATTAATCTGGCCACTCTGTGTGTGTGTGTGTGTGTGTGTGTGTGTGTGTGTGTGTGTGTGTTAGAGGCTCAGTGCATGAATTCATGCATGGGTGGGGTCCTGCCAGCCTGGCCAGGGGGAGGGGACATGAGTGGTTGGTCGGCCTGCCTGCTGGTCGATTTCCTGGTTGAGGGGACAATTTGCATATTATATAGGCTGTACACTGAGTAGCCAGATGATTATGTGTTCAGAGAGCATAATAATCTGGCCACTAAGTGTATATTTAACATGAAACAAACGGCATTTTCTCCCCAGGAAAACCGTCGGTGTACTGGGTGACTTCACTATGGTATTTGCGTACCCCGGGGGGGACACTCTTTCAGATTGTCTCACAAAGGCCTGATTTACACGGTGCAGGTTTCAACTTGAGAAGCAAAGACGCTCTTTTTTAATGGCCAGGGGTTGTTGAACACAGTTTTACAAAGCCCTTGTTTTCCGGTTCTGCAGTTCCCTGCTTTTTTCTGTAAATACCTAGTCTGAGTTTCTAAAGTTTTCAGAAAAGCCTCGCACACATTAGGAGGGAAGTTGGAACTAGAGCCACCCCAAGCCTTCCCCGTGATTTTGTCATTGGCCACATCTGTGGGAAGGCCAAGGCTGGCCTGTTTCAATGCTAAATCCTTTTAGGAAGTTGGATATGCCTTTTGCTATGCACTCCTTCCCGCTGTGCATACATTCTCAGGTTACTGCCAGAGAGTCTGCTAGCATTTTAAAAATACCCACTCACTACATGGTGCAGTAGCCCACAGGAAGGTATAGAAGCTGGAAGGTCTCGCCTTCCGAAGTTTGTACTCTGTTAGATGGAGTTTTCCTGCTCACTCGTAATGCCATTTCGATAATAAACCGGGAGTGCCTCTATACTATCGCACAGTTTATAAAGCCTCCAGAATATCACAGATTTGATTTTCAGAACTCAG